GGCATGGCTGCCGATGGTGGAGTGGAGGATTCGGGGGACGCAGAGGAGGCCGGACCCAGTAGAGCAGAGGCAGCAGGTACTGCTGTGGGGAAAGTCAGGGTGGTATGAAATGAAAATATGGTTGATCTGTCCATTAATTCTCACTATCACAATAAGCCTACACGAGTAGGTTGGTGTTGGAGGACATTGGGAGCATCAATGCACAATCCCAGCTGCCCATACATTGGACACTAACAATGAGGTCCAATTTGCGGCATGTCTTAAAGGAATTTCTGAATGAGTCAAACAGAATTCCTGCTGACCGACGGGAACTCTGCTTCGGGGTAGATCGCAGGTTGGAGTCATGTACGGCATTTCCAGTTACTGGAAGCGCTGTCCATTGTGAAAGTCTTGGATACCTTACTATCAGGAACAACAAGAAGCATTTAAATGGCGCCCTTCACACAGGACAGTATCTTGGAGCGCTGCACAGTGGCAGGTTGGGTGCCGAGCAAGGGAGAAGGTGAGGGTGGCCACAGGTACAGTTGAAGAGGTAGGTTTGACTGTATCACGATCACAGTGTGCAGTATGTATGTTTAGCAAATGCAGCTGAATAAGAGCCAGGTGTTGGGTGAGCAGCCCTTTCCCCAGTCTCTGGGTATCACTGAAAGTCACTAATGATTGCTTCATCAGGAGTTAACTTGTTCCTCAAATGGCAGCATTCAACCCCATACTGAAACTGCAAATGCAGACGCAAACACAGACTAACGTGTGCAAAAATAGTAGCGGTCGTGAGCATGACAGAAAGCAGAAGAGAAATAAACCTCGTCATACAGCACAAAAGCTACACAAGTGCACGTAAAGTTGTTTAATTTTAACTCTGAACATAAGTACCGGTGCTCTCAGTCTGCACTGATCAACAGTGACCAGCACACTCTCACGTTGATCGTACCTTTGTGCCTATTCTCTCTCCCCTTTCTCCTGTCCTGAAGATGTTTATCGCTTTTCTCCTACTGAGCACAGCCTAGACTGTGGGTTCAAAGTCAGAATGAGTAGGGTATGAGGAGATCATCATCAACAACATTACACTTGTATAGCATCTTTCATGTCCCAAGGCGCTGGACAGTGTACAGCATTTCAGATCCGAGCTAGGATCAGGGGGGAGAAGGGATGGGAGGGGAAGGGGGGTGGCTGATGGCATGGTCGAAGAAGAGGGTCTTGAGGTGGGACTTGAAGAAGGTTAAGGAGGGGTAAGGCAGAGTGATTGGGGGATGGAATTCCAGAGGTTGGGGGCAGAGTGGCTGAAGGTTCTCCCCCTAATGGTGGGTCGGGTGGATCGGGGGACGTGGAGCAGGCCAGAGCTGGCTGAGCGGAGGGAACCGGGTGGGTTGGTACGGGATTAGGAGTTCGCAGAGGTAGGGTGGGGCAAGGTCATAAAGAGCTTTGTAGGTAAGGACCAGGATCTTGAACTGGATCCTCTGAAGGATTAGGGAGCCAATGGAGTTGGGCGAGAGTGGGGGAGATGGGGTCATGGAGTTTAGTGCAGGAGAGGACACGGGCTGCAGAGTTCTGGATTATCTGAGGCCTGTGGAGGGAGGAGTTGGGAAGGCCGACAAGCAGAGTATTTTCATAGTCGAGCCTGGAGGTGATGAAGGCATGAACAAGAGCTTCAGCGGCCTGAGGGGTGAAGTAGTGGCAGAGTCGGGCAATGTAATGGAGGTGAGGGAAGGCAGAGCAGGTCATGGCTTGGATGTGGGGAAGAAGACAGTTGAGGGTCGAACAAGACACCTGGGCTCCTGACTGGCTTGGTGAGTTGAAGTGTGCAACCATGGAGGTTGATGCTGTCAGAGCCTGATTGATAAGATCAGATTGATAAGGAGGCGGCAGGGAGTGGATGGATTTGTAGATTAGGGTGAGGATGTTGAAATCAATCCATTGGGAGATAGGGAGCCAGTGGAGACTGGCAAGGACTGGAATGAAAGGATGTATGAAGTTTGGTGTGGGTGAAGATATGGATAGCAGAGTTTTGGATAACTTGCAGCTTGTGAATGGTGGAGCTGAGGAAACCAGTGAGGAGCATGATGGAAAAGTTTAAGCAGTCTAACATGCTTTCTCTTTTAAACAAAACTCTACTTTCACTGCATGTCCAAACACACAGCAATAAAAGTGCAAATGCAGCAAAAGCAACAAGATTTTTTTTCAGATAAGGTCAGCAAATAGCAGCACATAAAGGAATGCAAATAGCCTCTCCCAGTGTAAACCTTCTGTAGCTCAGTGGTTAGAGCACTCGCTTTGCAAGTGAGAGACCTGAGTTCAATTCCAGGCAGGGCGAAATCTTGGGCAAGTTTCCTTACTCCACACGCCTAATAATAGTCCCTCCAAAACAAAAACAATAATAAATTGGCCATTTTCAATCTATGACTGTTTGTGGGACATTGCTGTGCGCAATTGGCTGCCGCGTTCGCCCACAAATATACAGTTAATTCACTTTACAGTGTGTTCTGTGAAGCGCTTTGGGACGTCCTCCCGACGTGAAAAGCGCTATATCAAATGCAAGGATTATTATTATTATTATTATTATTACATTCACTGGCACAAACCAACAAAGCAGTTTTTTAAAAAAAAACGTTTAGACTTCTTAAACTTGGCAATGTATTCCGTGAAGTATTTTGAGACATCTCAACGAGGTGTTAAAGTGCTATATCAATTGGAAGAATTATTTTTTTTTAAAAACTGCTCTTGTTTTCTGATTAAAAGCCAGGACGGTGAGTGAAACTTTTAGACCCTGATCTCTTGGATTCAAACTTTGTAGGAAGATAAACAAGAAAAAAATTCAAAACGTTAGCTTGAAGCTACCAAAAAGTTATTGATTGCAATTGTTTTCTGTGCAGTGCAGAAAAGGCACACAGGATTGAAGGTGCCGCTGGCTCAAGTGTGGGAAAATTGTCGAACAGTATCAGTCACGATACCACATCCTGCAGGGTGTATAACGTCTTCTGCTATAAAGGGAGAACCGGTTTCCCCTGTCTGGGACTTTGCTTGTGCTGAGGTTTGGTTACTGATACTCTCTGTCACCATGTATTGCTGTCAGCATCCCAGAACCGTGCTGCTTCTCGTCCTCATCTACCTGGTTTACCTGCTGGTTGGAGCTGCAGTGTTCCAGGCACTGGAGTTACAGGAAGAAGACAGAACCAAGACTGAGGTCTGGAGGGAGAAATTCCGCTTCCTGGAAAATTATACCTGCCTCACTCCAGAGGCTGTGGAACAGTTTGTGAAGTTAAGTCATTCTGATTTCTGTACTGTATATGTGTGTTGTATATGTGTATGTGTGTGTGTTCTTATTTGGAAAGTTATATTGCTAAATATTCGTAAATTTTATGGGATTTGAGTAATATTTTTTATGTGCGAGTTAAACTCGTTTTTCTTGAGATTGATAGATTTGTACAGTGATCTTGATCTGAATGAGACAGGTGTGCTTCTCAAAGGTATGGCTAGAGACAAGAAAATACCATTAAGCTCACATACATATATACACAATATATACATATATATATATACACACACACACACACACACACAATGCTTTTTACGACAACTGGCATTTATATAGCGCCCTCACCCAGGGCAGCGTCCCAGAGTGTTTCTATCCATTGACCCCCCCCCCCACCTCCATAAAATATAAAAGTTGTTTTTTTAAATATTAATTTGTTGAATTCAGTCTCAACTTTCAGCTGACTTACAGGAACTTACAGGAAACAGGCTTCAAAATTATGGCCATGATTTTGAATGGCCCTGAAATGCTATGTAAATAAAGTATAAACCCGAATAGAATTTCTCCTTATATATTTTATGCAATTATTCCTGTTGGAAACCGGTTTATCTGCACGCAAAGCAATTGCTTCCTGTGTTGTCCTTTAAGATTTGAAAACAAAATGGGCGCATCTCGGAAATACTCAGCTGTTGTATATCTCAGATGTTTGTGGGACATTGATGTGTCCCAATTGGCTGCTGCATTTGCTTATAAAATACAGTCACTACACTTTACAGTAAATCCTGTGAAGTGCTCACAGACATTTCGGTGATTTGATTAGGTGCTATACCAAATATTATTACCACTAACTACAACAGCAGGTCAGAGCAAAACCACTTATTCACGAACCTGTCAATTCTCCACAGCAGTGTTTCTGCTTTGGGGAAAATTTCCTGATCATAGGAAGTCCTGGTAACAATTCTTGGTTTTGGCTATGAAGGGAGTATTCCGCAGAGGAGGAACAGAAAGAAGAGGGAAGGGTCCTGTAAAGTATCATTGCGAAAAAAAATTGCGCCTTAAAATTCCACCATTCTGTAAAGTTGCCAACTTTGCGAGAGGGAATCAAATCATCCACAATTCTTATAAAGCATCAGATTGTCCACAATTCTTCTAAGATAGTTTCGAAGACCTTGATCGTACTTCCTTCCCCCTCCCCAATCTTCTGCGTTTGCCTCTGCACTTCTTTTATAACCAAGTCTTCAACTCATTCTTATTGATCCTCTTCAATGTCCCTTTGAAGCTAGAGAGCTTTAAAAACTGAGAGGGAAATTTGTTCACTGGTGAATGTTTGCGAATGAACATTACTGAAGCTTAAGGGGAAGTTGTTTGAATGAAGATGGTCCTTCAATCCATTTAATCTAATTCTTCTAGAATTACAATAGCCCAATACAATATTGAGCTGTTCCTTAAAATGAGGCCAAAGTCCTCAACCATCCTGCCTGGTAACCTTCTCTAACTCTGGTTGTTACGATCTGGAATGCACTACCTGAAAGGGTGGTGGAAGTAGATTCAATACTAACTTTCAAAAGGGAATTGGATATTTAATTGAAAAGAAAAAAATTGCAAGGCTATGGAGAAAGAGCGGTGGTGGGGGAGTGGGGCTAATTTGATAGCTCTTTCAAAGAGCAAGCTCAGGCACAATGGGCCGAATGTCCTCCTATGATTCTATGTTTAATATTTTAACACAACTTTAATCCTGATTTGGGAAGAAGCAGTGCAAGTACAGAGCTCAAATAACATGACTTACATTTGCTATCACTATAGGTAATGATTGAAGCCTTAAAGCATGGAGTCAACCCTATTGGCAATTCTTCCACGTCTGCTCACAGTAACTGGGATTTTAGCAGCTCTTTCTTTTTCGTGACCACCGTTGTGACGACAATAGGTGAGATTTATCACAATATAAATATTCGGACACCAAAACATAGTATAAATGATGTGCTTGTCAAGCCCAACCCTTAACCTCATCAAACAAGTGACAGAGAAGGGAGTTTCTTCCTGTGTCCTAGCTAGCAATTCTCCAGATGAAATTGGTCATTCACTTCATGTTCCTGGAATGATGCTAAGCACAAATTAGCTGCCACAAAATACAACAATCACACCACGTTACAGCACATCCTGGGAAGCGCTTTGGGACATCTTGATGACGTGATAAAGCACTAAATCAAATGAAAGGATTTCTTATTATTTTGGAATGTGCTAAGCCACATCGTAGTGTGACTTTTATTTTTAAACCTAGCCCACAAGGTAAAGTCCTGTTAAACTAAAGTCAACAATGCAGTAACAAGCTGCAGTGTGTTCAGTGTAAAGGTGTTCCATTGTTCAACAGGCACCAGTTGGTGTGTATGCAAATTTGAGTGAGTGAGTAATAGCACCTCTTGTATTAATGATATTCCTTCTCGATAACTAAAGATCTGCAGTCCACAACACGATTGAGACCACCCTGAAGAGATGCAAAAGAGCAGCAATTTGGTATCAGCCTAGGTTAGTTGGTAGCACTTTTTCCTCTGCGTTAGAAGGCTCTGGGTTTAAGTCTCGAGATAATAATAATAATCCTTGCATTCAATATAGCGTCTTATTCAGTCCATAACTGGAGGACTGCTGTACTGTTGGAGGTGCCGTGGTTTCAATTAGGTATTAAACCGAGGTCCAGTCGACTCAGGTGGATGTTAAAAATCCCATGACACTGCGAGAAAAGAGAATGGAGTTTCTCTCGGTGTCCCAGGTAACAATACTCCAAATAAATTGATTCTTCACGTCCTGGCTGTCTGTGGCTGTATGCAGATCAGCAGCTGGTTTTGCCTAAAGTCACTAATTTAACAGTTAGTGTAAAACACTTGATATGTGGAGTCCTGTAGCTCAGTGGTTAGAGCACTCGCCTTGCAAGTGAGAGCCCTGGGTTCGATTCCCGACGGAAAAACCTTAGGCAAGTTTCCTTACTCCACACACCTGATAATAATCCCTCAACAACAAAAAATTTGGTCACTTCAATCCATGACTGTTTGTGGGAGACCGCTCTGTGCAATTGGCTGCCACGTTTCGCCCACAAAATATACAGTCAATTCACTTTACAGTGTATTCTGTGAAGCACTTTGAGACGTCTAGAAGACGTGAAAAACGCTATATCAAATGCAAGGGTTATTATTATTATTATTCATACATACAGGTACTGTGTTAAATGCTATAATTGTTTGCTTCTCATTTCTCTCCTGAAGGCTATGGAAACCTTTCCCCGAGCACAGCTGGAGGCCAGATCGTCTGTGTGTTCTATGCACTGTTTGGAATCCCACTCAACTTGGTCGTTCTGGGGCTGGTTGGGAAACACCTATCTTCCCACGTGGAAAACATGCGGACATGTCTAGCCAACAAAGGATTCACAGAGGTACACTCACATTATTACAAAAATTTAACCATGAACATATCATCAAAAAGCCAATTTGCATTTGGCTTTAGCAAAGGAGATTCACAAGGATGATTGATCCCAGAACTGAGAGGTTATACCTATCAGGAAAGGCTGAACATTCTTGGACTCTTTTGAAAAGAGAAGGGTAAGGAGTGACCTGATAGAGGTCTTTAAAATTATGAAAGGTTTTGATAGGTAAGATGTTTCCACTTGTGGGGGAGACCAAAACCAGGGGTCATTAACATAAAATAGTCACAAATAGATCAAATAGGAAAGTTAGAAGAAATGTCTTTACACAGAGAGTAGTGGGAATGTGGAACATGCTACCACAAGGAGTTGTTGAGGCAAATAGCATAAATGTATTTAAGGGGAAGCTAGAGAAGTACATGAGGGAGAAAGGAATAGAAGGTTATGCTTGAAGGTTTAGTTGAGGAAGGGCAGGAGGAGGTCATGTGGAGCATAAACACCGGCATAGATCAGCTGGGCCGAATGGCCTGTTTCTGTGCTGTATGTTCTAATGTATTCAAATGTATTCCAAAATATATGCAAATCTTGCCCATTGTAATTTTCTGTTGAAACCATTACAATGTTCCATCTTTGGTTCAACACAATGTCTGAATGCCACAGCCAGCAATCACCCAGATAAAATTGGTCATTGACTTCATAGCTGTTTGGGGGCCATTGCTGTGTGCAAATCGTGGAGTCCCATAGTGTAGAGGTTAGTGCGCTTGCCTCACAAGCAAGAGGACCCGGATTCGATTCTCAGGCAGGGCAAAACCTTAGGCAAGTTTCCTTACTCCACATGCCTCTGTTTACCAAGCAAGCAGGAACCTGGTTGTTCTTGGATTGGCGGATCGCTTTCCAGGATTAGTAATCTCTCCCGCCAAAAAGAAAAAAAAAATCCACATCTGTTTGTGCGCAATTGGCTGCCACGTTTCGCCCACAAAATACACAGTCAATCTATTTTACAATATATTCTGTGAAGTGCTTTGTTGTGATAAGGCAAGTGTAAGAATTATTATTAATGTAATTGTCAGATGCATTGACCTGCAAAGTACGCAACAACTTGTGTACTTGTGCAGCAATTACCTGCAAAATGCTTTTCGGGAGCTAGATCAAACTCGATGGGTTTTACTGTTCAGTTATCTCTCTTGATTTTAGAAAACATTGAAGGTATTAACGTTCTCACTCTCACTGTTGATTGGTGTGCTGGTCTTCCTGCTCATACCACCTCTGGTCTTCAGTGCAGTGGAGGGCTGGTCCTACAGGGAGAGTATTTACTACTCCTTCATCACTCTTAGCACCATCGGGTTTGGAGATTATGTAATAGGTGAGTCGTACATTTTTTTCCTCAAACAACAACAACTTGTATTTATACAGTACCTTTCATGCAGGGTAATGGCCCAAAGTGCTTGACAGTAGTGGAGCATGACACAGAGCTGGGGGAAGGGAATAGGTCGAAGAGGAAAGTCTATAGGCACGACTTGAATATGGGGAAGGAGGCGGCAAGGAGAAGGCATAGAGGAAGAGTGTTCCAGAGTTTATGGTCGTAGCGGCTGAAAGCGCAGCCACTGAAGGTGGAACTGAGGGTACAAGGGACAAGGAGGTGTGAATTCACAATTCAAAAGGCACAAAAAGGGAGAATACTTTGCAACAGCATGGTATCCTCACAGTGAGTCCTGGTGAAACGGTTTGGTGAAAACGAGTGCAGGGCAAATACGTTATTAAGAATTTTACTTGAGTGTGATTTCGCTTTTAATATGGTTTAATTCAATACAATAATGGTTACGAGCGCCTTTGGGATAGAATTCCAAAGAGTGGGGCAGAATAAATACACAGAAATCAGAAATAGGCCATTTACGGCTCCTGACCCTCTGAATAGCTTTCAGACCCAACCCAGTCTTAGCAGGAACAATCCCCAGTGAGCTCCAGATCAATACTGGGCAGAGACCAGCATAACCATGCAAAGTAAAGTTACTTTACTCCGATTATTGCAACACTGAAAGAAGGAAAGACAGAACTGCCAGTGTTTTACTTAGTCCAGCAAACAGCAGTCACTGAGAGAAATAGCTGCGCTTTGATAATTACAATGCCAATTAAAGACAACAGGTTCTTTGAAAGCAGAAGGAAGATCGATAGTGTGGGTAGGTGGGGGCATTTCCAGCTACATGGCATTGGTTTCCCTTGAGATAAGACCCCACACTTTGAACATTTGTAGATTTAGACTTGACATATGGATTGTGCGGCCAACAGTATGTGTCAGTCACCAAACTGAGGTGTAACCCACCTGCCTCACTTTGATTTAAACATTCTTAAGCCCTTAAAAAGTAATTATTTCTTGTATACTGAGGTGGTTAAAGATAATCGCCTTTGATAACCTCTAATAGTTGGGTTTGTAATACAAAGTCCCACCAAACATCACGTTTGAAGATTCCAATCCCAAACACCATTTTAAAGTTCTTCCATGTAACACAACTGTCACCCCCATCCTCGCTTGGCTTCACTGCCTCTTCTACCTCCCCACCCCACACCCCCACCCACCGACCCCTTTGCCGAGGTCCTCTCACTTGTAGAAACGAGTCAATAAGCAGCAGAGTAGGAGGGAGAGGAGAGGAGAGGAGAAAGCTGGTGAAATTAATTGTTACTAACTGCAGAGAAAGTTTACTTTGGCTGACTGAATAACCAATAGTTTTATCTGCGTTGCCAGGCACCAATCCCCTGAAGAAGTACAAGAACTTTTACCGGGGGCTGGTGACGATCTGGATTCTCTTCGGGATGGCCTGGCTGGCTTTCCTTTTCAACTTGTTGACCATTCGTTTGGAAAACACCGAAAAGAAAATCACGAAAATGAAGAAGACGAGAAAAGCGGCAGCAAAGAAGGGTGGGGAGGGCGAGACGGACAACGAGTGCCTAGACTCCATCTCGTTACACTCGGAGACTTCGCTGAACGCGAAAACGGAGCTGGAGAAAGGAGCCATCAAAGTTTCCAAACCAGGAGATGTGCCTCTAGAGGATTTGAAGATACTGGCAGCACATCCTAAACTGGAGCAGAAGGAAACAAAGTCTGGCTCTGAATCCGAAGTGGAGACTGTGGAGCAAGGCCATCAGAAATAAAAATACACAGTAACTCCACTTCACAGTATATCCTGTGAAGCGCTTTGAGATGTCGCAATAGCGTATTAAGGGACTGTATCAAATGCAAGGATTAGCATTATTATCTGTAAAATGACAAAGCACCGTGTCACTCGCAAAGAAATGGGGAAAATGTCTGCCCTCCATGAGAAGACATCACCAAGACTCCAAGGCTTCTCATATCCACACGTCGTCCAACAACAAGCTTCAAGAATTCACTCTGGAAAGGAAGAGCTACATGTTTACAATACTGACTTGCTATAGCTCTTTGAAAAGGGCTCTCTCTGGATTAGATTATATCTCACAGGATGTATTTAAAACATTTAGAATACTTGTATAACCCACAATGTACATAGATGAACTCCCACCCCTTCCACCCCATGACAAATTTCTGATCTTGGATCCATTTAAAGACAGGATTTATGCATTATACAGCAATCACTCTCATGGTCAGGAGAAATAGAGGCGTTACAGCACTAGCACATGACACACTGCCTCATTTGACTTTCAGTGCTTCCATTTTCATGATAAATTTATACTGTCTGAAGGTTGTCAGTTCAGCCCAACGTCGAGACTTCAAATAATCTTGGCTGAAAATGCAGTGCCAGGGGGAGCACAGCATTGTCAGAGGTGCCATCCTTCAGATAATTATGAGTATTACCTCTGTACTGTTATCCCGACTTCTTCTCCTGCCCATCCCCTGTGCTCAGCTGCACATTTCTCAATTCTCCGCCCCACCTCCATCCCAACATCAGCGTCTGGGCCTTCAGCTACTAGTGCCCTACCTTCAATCCTACCCTGCCACCCCACCTCCCAAAATCCTGCCTCATTCCAGTTTTTAAAAGCCTTCTAGAAACCTACCTCTTTAACCAGTCCAACAGCCATGTACCTTCTCCAGTTTACCTCAAACTCCCCCCATCCCCTGCTCGGTGTCCAACATCATCTCTGTAAAGCACTTTGAGAGTTACACTACCCTAAATACAAGTTGTTGTTGGCTGCCAATAATCAAAGCCATCGAACACATGCTTGAACTGACTGGTAGAAAGACCACCAAAGTATCCTTCACATTAAACCACGCATTAAGCTTTCACTATCAATAGTAATCGAGGCGTGAGCCATTGATCCGTGGCTTTATAAATGGCAAAATGTGCTATTTCTCGATGGAGGCACATCTCAGAGCAACATCCGGTCAAATGATGTGAATGGATGATTGAAGGAGATGGCTGCAAAGGATATCAGCAAAGGAAAAGCTTGGTGAAGGTGGATGGCATTATTCAATTCAAGATTCAAACACACGCTGCATTCAAGCTTTGTATTAGGCGTCTGAAATGATGCCAGCCAGTGAAGGAACGTTTCAAGGGCACAACAAACATCACAGAGAGCGATGTTGTCATTGGCGATGCGCCAAACTCACTCACTCACACACACACACACAGACAGGCGTTACCTTATTTTTACTTAGCTTTCCGTCAGAGAGTGACGGCAACACCAGAGGTGAGATAAACAGCTTTTCATTTTAAATTATAAAATCCTTTTTGTTTTAATCACTAATTGTATTTTGCAAAAATACACTCAAAATCTGGAAAGTCCACTATGTCTGGAATGCGCACTGCACTCTCTCTCCTTGAAGGGACCCACTGGATTTTGTACTGAGGTTTGATAAAACTGCGTAACATTTGTAATTTGACAATGGTTAATAATAAAACAAATGTGTGAACCTCTCCGAGACATTATCCTATGTGAAAGGCACAATATACAATATAACTGCCAGTTGTTGAATTAAGGCCAGCTAACTCAAGAGTTAATAATAATAATCCTTGCATTTGATACAGCATCTCATCATGTCTTCTATACAGTATACTGTAAAGTGACTGTATATTTGTGGGCGAAACGTGGCTGCCAATTGCACACAGCAGTGTCCCACAAACAGTCATGGTTTGAAGTGACCGAATGATAATTTTTTTCTTTTTTTTCTTGAGCGATTATTATCAGGCGTGTGAAATAAGGAAACTTGCCTGAGGTTTCGCCCTGCCGGGAATTGAAACCAGGTCTTGCACTTGCGAGACGAGTGCTCTAACCACTGAGATACAGGACTCCACACATCCAGGTTCCCTTTTGCTCACTCTCCCTAAAGGACATTGCGTTATAGGAGTGCTCCCAGCCCTGTTCAAGCCACATTTAGGTAGTATGAACGCACTGGATTAATGTGCAATACATGGAGCCCGGTTTCTTGTTATACACCTTTGCTACCACAGGAGGACGCCATATTCACAGGGTTCAATCACCCACTTCTTGGCCATTTGTGTTCTCACCCAAAGGATGGCATCTCCAGCGATGCAGAGCTGTGTCCCCAGCACCTCACTGGAGTGTCTGCCTGGACTATGTGAGTTGAAAATCTTTTAGCACCAGAGCAAAAACCACTTTGAAACATTTTGAGAGAAGACACCGCCTCCAGTGCAAGTGCAACCGAATTTGGTCTTGTTCTGCACACACCATAGAGTGGTGCACGACACACCACACAGAGGACATTTATTTTTGTTTTGCAGGGAAGTAAATAACGATGTCCATAGTAAGTAACTGGTAACCCACAAAGACATCCATAGGCTCATGGGAGATGTAGAAGAAATCTGAAAGGTGATGTAATCTTGCAAAATATCCTGATGTATAGCATTTCTACGTCACACTTTAAGAAGCAACAACATGCTCAGAAATATCATAATAATCCTTGCATTGGATGTAGCACCTCATCACATCATCAAGACGTCTTAAAGCGCTTCAATGTAAATTGCAGTGATTGTATTTGTAGGTGAACGTGGGAGCCAATTTGCCTTACAAACAGCCATGAAGTGAGTGGCCAGTTTATTTTCTTTGGGGATGTTGGCCAGGATACGGTGAGAAACTTCCTTCTCTTTAATGTCCGCCTGAAATAAGCAGATGGAAGCTCGGCTTAACGTCTCATCTGAAGGACGCAGCTTTGGCAATGTAGCTTTCGCCCCCCAACACTGCACTGGAGTTGTCAGTGTGAACCAGGGGGTCATCACCGCTGGATTTCCTCTCATGCATGATCAATGAAGATGAGAGGAAGGAACCATATTTACCACAGTTTGCATAATAAAGTTCATATTTTTATTTTGACGTGCATGAAATACTTTGTGCCTTTTCAATTGGATGAAATAACTACTCAGTTCTATCACTCCTTCCCCTTGCTTCACTGATCATGTGTGGCTGGAGACCCCTGGTCTAGACAGTATTTGCAGAAATAACATACCCAGCCACTTTAAGCTGTACAGTTCTATAAGGAATAGACCTCTCTGCTTTCATAAACGTTCTACAGCAGCCCCAGCTGTTGAGTATGGCAATAACTGCGCAGGGTGGGATGACATGATGCAATTCTGTAGCTCTGGAGTCCTGTAGCTCAGTGGTTAGAGTACTCGCCTTGTACGCTAGACACCTGGGTTCAATTCCAGGCAGGGCGAAACCTTGGGCAAGTTTCCTTACTCCACACGCCTAATAATAATCCCTCCAAAAAACAAAACAGTAATAAATTGGTCATTTTCAATCCACGACTGTTTGTGGGACACTGCTGTGCGCAATTGGTTGCCGCGTTTTGCCCACAAATATACAGTCAATTCACTTTGCAGCATATGCTGTGAAGCGTTTTGAGATCTCTAGAAGACATGAAAAGCGCTTTATCAAATGCAAGGATTATTATTATTATTATTATTATTATAATTCACCAGGAAGAACCATTGGTTGGGAACAGATAAGTTGGCATTGTCTAGTACAATGGTGGTGAGGGGGATGTTTACCGCTCAACATCTTAGAGGAGTTGGAGGAGAAAGCAGTGGCTGGCAACATCTGTTTCTGCTGGATTATGAAGTGAATTGGTGGTGGGGAGGAAGAGAGGGATTGCAGAGAGAGTGAGAGCGAAAGCAACTTTACGGCAGGAGTCAATGCCTCTGCAGACACTGTATGTGACGTTGTGTTCATACACTTGTCCTCTGTGCAGTGTGAAAGAAAGTGGCAGACAAAACAATTACAGTAAACCACACGCCTCTGTTTACCTAGCAGTAAGTAAGAGTGCAGTTGTCAGTTGATTGGCGGATTACTATCCGGGAGTAAAAAAATGTGGTCACTCAATCCACGACTGTTGCTGTGTGCAATTCGCTGTCGCAAAATACAGTCAATCCATTTTACAGTATATTTTGTGAAGAGCTTTGAGATGCCCCAATGATGTGATAAGGCACTATATCAATGCAAAGATTTTTTATTATTATCATAATTATTTGTAGCACAAATGCTACAAACCGTGGGTTTGTACATGTGTACAAGCGCTGTTTTTTTATTGCTTTTTGGGAAAGAGGAAGCTCTAAACTTAGTTTGATTAAAAAAATCAGTCCGTCTCTTGCAGAAACTAATTCCCCCCCACCTCACTATCCCCCCTCCCCTCCCCCTCGTCCAAAGCGCTGGTGCCAGGCATTAAACCAGTCAGCAATACTATCCTCTCCACAGAATAATCCATGTCTTGCAGATGGAGTGCCTGATTGTTTCACTTAAGACTGACAGGATGATTTATAAATAACACAGGAGGAATTCTCTGCTGTGTGGTCTGCGCTATCTTTGGATTAATGTTACAATTCCGAGGAAAGCTCAAACTGCGGCTCCCTTCACACTCCCAAACACGCTGGTCGGCAGAGGCAAATCCCTTTGATGCTGTCACGGGTTGGATTGTCAATAATTCCACCAGTTATTGGCAAAAATACAGCATCTCAACAGCAGACTAAGGGGGTTTACACATGCTCAGCATAAATAATGAGAAAATAATTAATCCATTGCTTGAAGTGGTGGATTATTAATAATAGTTATCATTAGCATTGCCAATAATTGTATGTGTGTAACAGTATGTGCAGGTATTACCCGTGTTAGTATAAGGGTGCATGTGTGCACATAACAGTGTTTGTGTATGTACATAAGTGTGTGTGCGCGCAAAATAGAATGTGTATTTGCGCACACACTCAAGAGAGAATGCGTGTGTGCATACATAAGTGTGTGTGTCTGTGTATGTAAGCATGTACGAGAGAGAATGCAAGTGTGTGTATGTGATAAGTATTATTATCTGTCCAGCCTTGCTCCGATGCTAAGCAGTTTGTGAGATATCTGCTGAATCAATCACAGCGTGATGGAACAGTCCTTCAATAACGGACACCAGATTGATTCTATCCACCGAGCGGATGAAAGTGCTACCAACTGCTCTGAGGAGCCTTTATTTCACTGAAGACATCCAACATCTGGTCTTATTTTTTAAAATAAGAAAACCGAAACATGTCTCTCCAGAGTGTCCGGCCTTACTGAATAATAAAACAAAACCCTTTGGAGTGACTGGGCTGAAATTACAGTGGCTTGTTGCTGCCTTTTTGATTTTTTTTAAAATCAGACAAAAAAAAACTTTGAAGAGAACCAAACCTATTGCCAGAAGAGAGCTCATGTGATAAAGGGTGACATTTTAACTGTGAACAAGACAGACAGTACCACGACATGATCTACATTCCAGGGCGAGAACTGGCTAACAATTTTCCCAATAAACTGCTCACTCAATCACTCACTCACTGGTTATTGGTAGGCCACTGTAGCACGTAAAACTGTCTTCTGCGTTTGTCTAAAAATACAAAGTTTCTACCCAATTGACAGCAATTTCCTGTGAAGCGCGAGACATTGGTATTACAGATGCTACACCAAATCAAGGATTACTATTGATGTAATCGCAAAATGTACAAAATTTGAAAGTATTAATGTATGCATCATCTCCCTTTTCTCAGATTCCTTATCCACACTGTGCAATGAAGTACTCATTTCCCCAGGAATAATCCTCGGTTGTACCAGTACTTCAGACCTGAACTGGAGTCTCAAACTTTTGCACCGCATGATTGCATATCATTACATTAACAGTGCGCTAAAAGGCAAGCTATGAGCTTTTAGCTGGTTAAACTCCAGCAACCCACACTGTGAGCTCCCCAAGCCATGGTGCCCAATACTTTCTGTAAATAATAATAATCCTTGCATTTGATTTTGTGCCTCATCACAGCATCAAGTAGTCTCAAAGTGCTTCAAAGGACATGCTGTAAAGTGGAGTGGCTGTGTATGTTGTGGGTGAAACCCAAGCAGCCAGTTGCGTACAGCAATGTCCCATCAACCGACCATGGAGTGAGTGACCAATTTGACTCGGGGGATTCATTGGTCAAGACACCCAGAGAACCTTCCTTCTCTTTTCAAATGGTGCCATAAGATCTTCAACATGAACAGACCAGGTGGGACCTCAGTTTAACATCTTATTAGAAGGCCAGAACTTTTGACAGTGCAACCTCACTTCCACCTACCAGCACAAACATAGGTAAGCAGGGCACATTCCTTTAGGGAGAGAGTACCCATTCCATTCCAGACACTGGGAAATTTCCATTTGTATATGGCAAAGATATGTGGAACTCTCAGACTGGTTTGGATACTCTTAAGCATGTGATGAGTTTCCACATGCATCAGACGTTCGGCCTTCTAACATTGAATAAAAAGGACATTGATGGATAGCAGAGGATTCAGAGAGGAGCCAGGAGGATGATTCTGGGCCACTGG